CAACGCGATGGAATTCAAAAAGTTGTTATTCTCTGAACAGACCTCGTATACGGTATATTAGGTCTCCCAGTAAGTGTCGCTATTCCACATATCACCTAAAGTACCTACCTCCATTTTGTCATTTTATAAGGTGGTAATGTAGCGCAATCATTTATCTTTAAAGAATTGCAGTTTGTGTTTATTAGTCGAAAATTATAATCACAGAATAATTAGTAGGTACGTCTCTGAATGAAGTTATAATATTTAATAATGAAAAATAAACATTCTCTCAAATATTAATTTACAAGTAAATTTCCATTAACTCTTTCTGGAATATGTGAATCATCAAGGGGATTAAAGAGATGCAAAAGTAATTAAACGGGTAATCAATGTTCTAATTCCTTCCAAATTAAAAAGAAGGAAAAATTGTTATTTTTGCTTTATTTTAAGCTAATTCAAATAAATTCCTAAATTAAATTCTTTTTTTTTAAATCCTCTCAAATGAAGTCAAACAAGGTTAATTGACATCAGACATCTAGGTATGCAAAATATATATATCAAACCTTACAGACATGATCCTTAACTGATAATACATATTGGGGACTGCAATATTTTAAGATTCCCAAATTAACTAAATCATGTTGTCTATTAAAGCAACTACGATTGCTTCAGATAACACTAAATTGTAAAAGTTTTTATTGAAATTTAATAATTGTTAGGTACTATTAAAAATTATTTATTAAAATCCATTAAAGATGTAATTTCAAGAAAACTAACTCCTTTAATATAAATTATATTATGTAGATATTTACTGTTGTCTAATCTGAAAATTAATGTATGATTATTTCACATCTGGACAATTATCCAATTCTATAAAAAGAAGAAATTATTTAAAAAAACTAATATAAATTAACTCTAAAAGGATTCGGGTTGAGTTCTACGAAAATACCTTAATAAAATCTTTCTCCGGAAAAAAATTCCAATAATAAAAAACACTGTTCAACTTAAGACTGAGACGTCCTTATAACTTTTTTAGTTTTTGTCTTGAGTATACTATACTTATATAACCAATGTTTTTTCTTCACTTTAAATCAAATTTTTCAGTCCCTTCAAAAGGTGACCCATTGAAATGAATTTATAAGCAAAAATCTAAGTCAAAATATTAAAGGATGCATTTTTATGAAAAAATTTTACACATTCCTTTGGTCACATCTCTTACTGTTAGAGATAGATATATGAAACGTTATATTACTGTAATTTTAAAAATATAAATAATAAATTATTAATTAAAGCTTCTTTTTACATTTTCAAAAATATGGTAATCTTGCAATAATGCAATTGCTCTCACTGTTCCGACATTTAAACAACAGGAAAATATGATTTAACGAAATCTAGTAAATTGCCAGTTTAATTATTATATACTTGAGTATCTTTGTGCATCCGATATTGTCGATGTGGAATTAACACCGAAACATATGTAGGAGATACATATAGAAATATTTTAAAAAATGAATAGAATAAATTTTAAAGAATGAAGTACTATTTTATAAATAGACATAGATATAGTGTAACTCAGAATCAGAATGATACTCACAATCAGTTATTTTCAAAGAGAAGAAAACCCTGTAAATTATTTATGGCCGGGTAAAGGGATTCATTGCTCGACCTCGTTTGTGTACTAAATGTAGGTATTTGGAGCTCCAGCGAACATATTTAAATCAATAATTTAGGGTTTTACTTGACTTTCTCCAGCCTCTGTTAATTAAGCATTCTACATTATAACCTCATTTGATAAGATGGTAAATATCTACACGGCAGAGCTGCTTGGCTTGATGGATTAGGCAGGTAAAAGAAAGCATTCATCTTTTAGCTCTGACAGCTAGAATATTTCATCATAATGTGTAGCAAGTATAAGAAACTGCGCCATGTTTACGAGAAAGTAATCAAGTCTAGCAGTCCACTGAATATATAAATAAATCACTCTTAACATCTGTCGCCTTTGAAAAGGAAAAATTGAATTCTAAAACGTATGTTTTTAATATAAATTTTTCAAACGACTTAACTAGAGATAGTTTAAATCTGATTAGCAATGGTAGTTTTCACTGAGTCAATACTTCTTTTTATTATACTTCCACTTGTAATACCTGAATCTAAGTTAAAAAAAATAGTTTTTGTTACATTTGAAAGTCCCAATACAATTAATTATCATTCCTATATTCTAATAACAACGATACAGTTTACTGATTTGTTATCAAAGACAAATTATAGTTTGTTGTATGTACCTAACATGTTTATTTTTTGAGATACGGAATATTAAAATTCCTCAAAAAAAATAATTATTTTCCCCAAATATTTCCCAGACGCTTATAACATTGCATTGTCGAAATATTGGAAGAACGGAATACAAACGCAACTTTTAAATGTATGCTTCAAATGCTAAAATGCTAAAATTAAAAATACTTCAATTTTATAAGCTTAATAGAAAAGAGAGGTGACAGCATAAATAAAAAAATTGTACGTCATTAACAAAATGTTTTTTTAATCCGTCCTCATTTTTAAATTAAAATATATGAATTTATTCTTTAATTTCATCGTTTTCAAAATCTAAAAACACTTCTTGATCAATGACTGCATTTAAAAGTAATTTTAGGGACGTCCAATTTGAAACGTATTCATCTATATCAATTAAATTTCAGCACATTTAAAATACAGGGTGCCTCTTTTATTCTAGGCGTTATTTTTATGTTAAATGAAATTTAAAGCCCACTTTGACAAATAAATTCGACGTTATTTGAGACCCCTTATATATCTTTTATTTTATCAGAAAATTATTACCTGCAAAGCTATTATTTTGATTCTAGTCATAGGTGACCGATTCTTAAATTAAAAAAGGTTTCTTTTAATAAAATTTGCGATTTTTTGTCTAAATATTAAAACTATACTAATTCCCCGTAACCTCTCTCTCACTCTCTCTACCAAATTTGATTAAAATGTGTTTAAAAGTGCTCAAGATATGAATACCCAAACACTTAAAATTAGTTAATATACTCTTGCCTAACTTTCACCTAAAAGACTGTTAGATAAACCTTTCCATTTACTTTTTGTTTTCTATAAAGTTACACAATTTCCTAGCATTTTTTTATCTAGTTGGGAATAAATATTTACAATAGGAATTTGCCTGCCCCTAAAATTTTATATCATATTTAATGAAAATATTCACAACAGAAGATATATGGCAAAAGAATAAAATAATAACATAAAACACTAAATATTTTTCTCAATTTCAGTTAACCAGTTTCCTCTTTCTATGCATTTTCAACTCTTTTGTTACTTTTCTTCTTTCTTGCTTAGTAATTTCGCCAAATTTCTATCTAATTTCGTTGTCTAAATCTTCTCTAATACGAAGCTTATCCTTATCCTTACATAAACTTTTTTCTTTATAGGACTTATTTAATGTCAAAATTTTGTGTCTTCATTTGTATTATTTGACAAGAATATTTTAAATAAATATGAAAATATTAGGAGATAGGTGTCAATAATCTTCTTTTTAACGGCTAGATAAAAAAGTTTTCTCGGGAGCTTAATATAATTTTAAAAGTAAATGCGAAAGCTTATCTTATCGGAATTTTCTAAAATTAAATGTTACTATTTTTATTGTCAACTGAGCAGATATTTCGAGAAAATAAAGCACCTGAACTGATGCTTTCTACAATACTGAAAAATAATCGGAAACATTTTTTTAATAAAACTGACACTCCACATCTAAAACATTTTCGAGTAAAGTATACATACAGGGTGGGCCATTAGTGTGAGAAAGTAAAATAACTTCCTTGTTACTCAAAATACAGAAAAAATGTTTATATAAAAGTTATACAGAATCAATAAAACCTAAACCACAAAATTAATTTGATAGATACAGGATGATGAGTAAAAACGGGACACGCCAAATATTACATTTTTAAATAGAACGCCCTGTATATTTTTACACATATGGATTACCGAGAAAATTCTATATATGGCAACATAAAGAGTTTATCATTTTAGTGCAGGGTTGCCAAGTTATCTAGAACATTCTTCGAATTTTGGAAAAGCATGACCTCGAAGAAGTTGTTGACCCTGTATTTTATTGTTCTATTTTATTCACATATCGGTCCACTTCAACTTTTATTAAGCATGTTCTATATCTAAAATTGTTAGATTTTAAGATATACCTAGCAACATTTCCGAAAAAAATTAATTTTTATTATTTTTAAAATATATCACAAATAAATATTAACTAATAAAATTAATTCAAAATGGAATTATGAACTGACAAGTTGACACAATGTGACAGTTTTTTCCAAAGCTAATTTCGTGCGACCGAAAATAATAAAAATTAGGTTTTTACAGAAATGTTGCTAGAAATGATCGTATTATAAAAAAATGCCCTGTATAAAATATTGATATTAGCTAATATACGAGTCTTTGCCTAACATTTGCCTATAACTCTGTTAAATATTTTTGCTCCAAGTGTTAGTAGTTGAAAGTTAATACAACTTATTCGAGGTCATGCTTCTCCAAAATTCGAAGAATTTTCTACATAGACACAAAAATGTTAAAATTATATTGCCATATATAGAATTTTCTCGGAAATCCATATGTTTAAAAATATACAGGGTGTTCCATTTAAAAACTATTATATTTGGCGTATCCCGTTTTTACTCATCGCCCTTTGTGTTTCAAATTAATTATATCCTTTAGGTTTTTTGACTCTGTACAAGTTTTTTTCTGTATTACGAATAACAAGAGAGTTATTTTACTTTCCCACACTAATGGCCCTCCCTCTATATCGAATCACTCTGTAAGCGTATAAAGTTGATAAATTGTCATCAATCAATTTATCAATCTTAGCTTGCAATTTTTTTAAGATTGTCTTAATCGTAGATAAATATCGTATTATCAGAGATATCACTCTCATATCACTGCACCTTTCGATAGTATTATTTTGTTGCAGAAGACACTTCAACAATACACAGAAAAGCTTAGAATTTTAAATTCTTTTAATAAACAAATAACAAAATATAAAATACGAAAAATAAAATTAATAACAATATACATGGATGACAATGAGTGAAATAAGAATGGCGATCATGAGAATGAATAAAGCTCTTCGACGTTACCCAACGCCAAAGTGAACAAATACCAAATTGGTCTACAAATGACTAGTTAACAGCTCTAATGTCCTTGGCCCTCACTGTGTCCACCACTTCCGTGCTTAGAAACGTGGTGGTAAATGTGCTTGTAAACTGGTACATGGACTGGATATGGCTTGTCTACGTATTGGAGGTGATGCTTTTCAATTTCTACTTTGTAGGGCTTGTCTACGTACACTGGTACTAGCTTCTCCACGTGGATGGGAACTTTCTTTTCTATTTCCTGGGGTACAAGCTTGTAGATGGGCACGGGAATAGGTTGTGGTACTGAGATGTGAACCGCGTAGGGCTGTGGTACCGGAACCTTAATAACTTGAGGGGTTGGAACTCCAACAGGGTGAGGCACAGGAACGCCGATTTTCTTGACGACTGAGATGTGCACTGGTTCGGTTTTCTCAATTGTCTTCGTAGGAATGTGATGGTGCTGTACTTCAACTTTAGGTTGGAGGTCAATATTGTGATCTCCGCCTTCACCTAAATCGAAAGAGCCTCCATGACCTCCAAAACCACCTTCAAATCCGCCATGTCCACCTAGATCGATGCCTTGTCCTTCAAAGTGTCCTCCATTTGAGACTAATTGAGCAGCGTGAGCTCCAAAATCAAATCCTTGTCCACCTTGTGAGAGTTCATGACCTCCTTCTCCGCCGGAGAGTTGGATGTTATGTCCTTCATCTCCTCCAATGTTATGTTCTTCGCCACCACCTAAGGAAAACTGACCTTGCTCTGCTCCTCCACCGAGTCCATGACTGGCAGTGAATCCCCCCTGCCATTGTGGTGAATGCCCGCCAAAGTCAGCACCTGCACAATTCGACACGATAAAATATATCCTTGAAGCAATAAGTAATTTGACCTAGTGTTCATTTTTCTTGCAAATTCATAATTAATTTTCGACGTTATACGTGCCCATTGAGGACAGATGCCCATCTGTGATTAAAAATGAAATGCAATATAATAGAAATTTTAAGATTAAATCAGTTGTGAGTTATTTCTAATTTACTAAATTCGTCCATTAGTCCAGTCGACAGAGGCCGAAAGGTTAATGTTGGTGACATTTCCTTGATAACTCGGAAATAACTACACAGGAATACTTTAAATGATGAGTACAATAACAGGCTAATTTGCTGACAAAGTATTTTATCAGGAAAAAAGTTATTAACAATTATTTTCGAGCGCGAGCTCCGCTCTTCGGTGCTTGACGGTGTATACTATTAGAAATATGCAACAGCAAATAAATTTAAACAATTGCTTACTTAAAGTTAAAGGTTCACCCCACACGTACGTTTTTGTTTTATGTTGATATGTTGAATAATATACGAGTACGGCTAACAGGCGCACAATGTTAAGTAGCTTAGGTTCTAAACGATGAAAATATATATTTTTTTAAATTGTAGGTAATTGTTCTGGCTAATCTACCGTTATGGAATATCTTATAAATATACGTCCAAAAATTAAAAAAACGGTGACGTTTAAAACTAGGGTAACGTATAAAACCTTACCAAAACTGCAAAAATTAAGATACTTGAATTTTACAAATTGCTTTTGGTTTCTGCTTATGTACACTATGTGTATACCAAATTTCAAGTGTCAGCAAAGCTTCAAACAAATTTGGCAAAGTTTCGAGTTTCAGATGCCGATGAATGTATAACACCTCATAGAACAAAAAGTTTCCTGATTTTCGGCTTTTTTTTCATTTTTGTAAATATATTGAACTACAGTTTTCGATAGTTTTTTCACTTTTTGTTTATAATTGACATTTTTACAGCAACTTTAAAAAATTGACGTTTTATACCGTTTTTTCAATCTCACGGCTTTGTTATTACAGATTTCGTAATCGGACCACCGCCATTTTGTAGCAATTTTTATTACGAACAAAATCATGTCCTAAGCATTTTTTCGTACAAGGTCATCCCGCTGAGTTATTTAAAGAAAACTACTAAAAATAATGTTTCACTATTAAATTGTTAATAACTTTTTTCCTGATAAAATACTTTGTCATCAAATTAGCCTGTTATTATACTCATCATTTAAAGTAGGCATGTGTAGTTATTTCCGGGTTATCAAGGTTTGACACAGGCCGAACCTTTATCAACTGGACTATATCAGTTAAATAAACAATAAAAAAGTAATTAAAAAAATAAGCATCTATCCCGCATATCAAATGGCTAGAAAGAGAGTTGATAGGTGAGACCGCAGCTTAAGAGGAGTAGTATTTGAAATTGTGAAAGTGTGAATATATTGCAAATAGATTTTATTGAAAAAGTAAGTAGCAAAAGATTGGTACTGCGTTAGCATTCTGTTTCCAGAGGTGACCATGTTGGGATAATAATAATAATATGCGTAATGAATATGTCAAAAAAGTAAACTTTTACCTAAGTATTGAGTGTTACTGCACAGAAAATATTGTCATGAGAATTCACACAATTATCCTTAAAATAAGGACGGGCATAAATTGTCGCATTTATATTCTGATTATTTCTACAATTATTGTAGATTTCCTCAAAGTTTCTTTAAATTCGATTCTTCAGTAATCATTTGTTTGTTTAGTTACTTATTCATTTATTTTTTTAGTAAATTAACACAAAAAAATGTATGATTTGGCCAGTGAGAGAAAACAAACCATATAAAAGACTGACCTTTTATGGAACAAAGAAAGTTAATATACACTACTACTGTACACTACTGGTATAAACAAACACTTTAAATCCAGAAGAAATCGGATCTACAATATGGATGTAATTAAAAAAATGTGGGAAGAATTGCACAGGCAGATACTATTTAGTTCAAGAGCTAGTAAATAAATAATTTGAGAGCTACTAGTCCAACCAACAGCAATATGGTACCCATCACTTTCTATATTTCAAAAGTTCATTCGCCTCGTTTTCTTAGCGTGTACTATACTATTGTAAAGAAGGCAATAGGTTATTTTAAATCACAAATTAACATAAAAAATCTTATCATATTTGCATCTTCTATTGATTTTATTTTATGATGTCATTCCAATCATTTAATAAATAAACTATGCATGAAATAATTACATCTTACAGTATTTACTATTTACAAAAAAAAACTCACCTCCGTCTTGGTTATGTCCAAAGTCCTGTTGCAGCGAAGACAATCCTTCCTGACCTAAATCAGATCCGTGTTCTTCTCCACCACTGATGTGATTGGACAAATCACTCGCACCCTCGAAGCTTCCCTGATCTGAATCGCTGTAATCTCCACCGCCTTCTACATCTTGACTCTGCCCTTCATCGTACCCGCCATGCTCCTCAACGCTTTGCTGATTACCACCGTAGTCACCTATGACTCCACCATGCACGTCACTTAAAGCTAAGGCCAAGAAAAGGGCACCGACCTGAAAAACAAAACACAATCGATTTGAACTAATTATATTATGCAAAACTACTAGCCTGCGGACTAGAACTCCGAACATTGAATTAGATTCACAGTGTTTAATAAATAACTAACGACAATTAATGATCTAGGTAGTTGGATGTATATCTACCGATATATTTCAGTGTGGGTAAGATATAACCTACCACATGTGTTGATATGAGAGTCCATTAAGATATCGCACATTTCGTAGGTTATATCTCACCCACACTATCGAGTTTAACCAATTCCAAAAGAAAATGGCCGAAAAATAGAAATAACAATAACATTGTATTCAAAAGTTTAGTAATTGGTGGCAAATTATTTATTATACATTTTGTATTATTAGCCCTTGTACTTTTACTTTATTTAAAAGTATTAAGAGCTAATTCCAGCTAATTCCAAAAGTGTTTTCAAATCTTGATCTTGAAGTGATATGTATACAGCGTGATTCACATAGAACTCCCCTACCTGATAACTTGATACGATATTTTTTTGATTCTAGCCAACTCTAGAGGAGCTAGTTAGGACTTAAAGTAGAATAATTTGCGAGTAAATTGTAAGTGGCGCTAAGGTCAAAATATAGGAACTTTTCATCATCACTCTTAATTTTTCATCATTGCTGAGCTATAAATAAATCTAAAAAAATTTATTGTTTTTGAGATATCGTACAATCAAGTTAAAGATTGTATCGAAGCCCCTAATAATTTTGATTACTCAAATATGAATTGTACTATTTTATTGTACAATAATCTAATTCACTTGTATGCCTATATTATATGATATTGCGAAGTCTATCGAATTTGGCGTAGAAATTATTAGGTTTTATTTTACAGGAATTTAAAAGCATATTAAAAATTATTTTGAAAATGCTTAATATCTTAAGAGTAACGTAAAGTTACATAATTACGCATTTTAATTAAAAATTGTTAATTAAAAAGTAGTTGGCTGCATTAAACAAAATAGACTCAGTTACCTACCGAGGAGTAACGTATTAAAATAAATGAGATCGTGGTAATAGTTCTCTTTAAACCACATTTTATGTTTTGTAAAGATGAAAAAGTATTTATTCTAACTAGAGAGATTTCAATGGTGACTTTCACTGGAACTAGAACTTGAAACTAATTGAAAATATTTATGAATGATTCTTACAGAATTTATTATACTGAAAATAGAAAAGAACCGCTATGTTTTTATGTATTTATCCACAAAAAATTGTTTATTTAGTAAAATAATTGATTTACTATGCGAAGACTTCTTTCAATAATAACTAACCAAATATAATTTTTATGTTGATTGGAATACCAAGAGTAATACAAATATTTAGAAAGTTTATAAAATTCATGTCAATTTATACTTAAATATGTACCTACCTAATAATTTTGTTTAATTTGTTGTGTACTAATAAAAAATGAACACGTATATTTGAAATCACTGAATTGCGCAAATAATTAATAAATTATTGTTTACAATGTAACATATACCACTAGGAACCAAATTAAACAAACCAGGGCTTTGGAAAGTAATAATGAACAATTAAATTTGTTCCTTTTGGTAAAAATTAAACGCTTACTTAATTACAATAATTATGCAGACGGATTGTTAAAGTCTGAATAAAATTACTTTTAAAACCGAGGCAAGTTTTCTTGAAAGAATTTTATATAGTAGTGAAGTTTATATCTTAAAAATGATCGTTCAGCTTTTGTTTCCTCTAACGATGATGACGCTAATTTAGTGGAAAGTCTGCAGAAAGTGTTACTAATTACGAAAGATCGTGATGTATATTTAGGTATACTCATTATTAGAAACGGATATTTATAAATCGATAATATATGGTTACCTATTTGTGGAGTTTACACTTGAGCATTAGTTTAAAAGAAAGGGTAGAAAATACAAACTAACCAAATACAAACAAACCAAATAATAAGTTGTTTTTCTCTAGAATTAATTTTATGGAATTATTTTAACCTAACTGAAAATTTCACAATGAAAAGTAGTTAATAAAAGATAAAAACAGCACTACCTTACTTCACTGTAGGTTAGAAAAGCGATTTTAGTATTTTTTCTCTGATTTCTTTTTCGGTGTAATGTTGAATCTTGTCATAAGGCTTCATTTAATTAATTTTGAAATTTTATTCACCGGAGGTAAAACAAAAAAGAGTTACTAAATAATCTCAGACGATTCAGACATTTTAAAATTTGATTGGATATTTTTTCTTTTATCATTAAAAATTGGCACAGAAATAAACTTACTATTAAATAATAAATATGTATTTTTTTAGAAATATTTGAATTTTATGAATTGGTAGGTCCCTATTTTATTGATTATGATGACAAATTTACATTTTCAAATATCTTTTTAATTACATATTTTGAAGATAATTTTTAATTTGACTGAAAATAATTTGAGGGTCAGTTAGTCAGAAAATTACTGAAAAATGGAACCTAGTCCGAAGTACAATGTAGAAGCAAATTTTTATATTTTATGGTACAAACAAGTATTATTTTTTTTCTTTGGTTATTTAGATATTTTACCAATTATTAAATCAATCCATAATCCAAAAAAACCAATGCTGAGTTTTTATAAAATTTACAAATTTTTTATTAACGAAAATATAGAAAATTTTAAAATTATTTCACAAATAATGAAGTTAAGAATATACAGGGTGTTAATTAAGTATGTACAATAAATTCAACAGACAATTATTTGAGTGCTTTTAAAACAAAAAGTTCATATAAACATTGGTCCGCAGATGCTTCGTTTTACAGTGTGTCAAACTTTTGTGAAAAAAATTGCTATTTCGCAAATATCTTAAACGCCCTTTAGGTGCCCAATTTTGTTTTAATTTGGCAGTGTTACAGGGTTAATTTAACTCTAACTTGATTAGATTTGTTAAGTCCAGTGGCGTCCCAAGCGGTACCTTAACGAAGGAGTTTATTTTTTCCTCCAAAAATTAATCAAGGTACGAAAAACATTCAAGTGACAAAAAGTTGTATTTTTAGTTGCTTAATCCAAAAAAATATAAAAATTAGAAAAAAGTCAGTGGCGTACATTTTTTCTTATCAAATATATTCGTTAAGGTACCACTCGGGACGCCACTGGACTTAACAAATCTAATCAAGTTAAGGTTAAATTAGCCCCTTAACAGTTCTTTAAAGAACTGTATCTTGAAAACGAAGTATCTGCGGACCGATGTTTATATGAACTTTTTATATTAAAATCACTCAAATAATCATCTATTGAATTTATTGTACATACTTATTTAACACCCTGTATATATTTAAATGAATTACTTTAATTACTTGAAAATTATTTCCATAATTATTTTTATTTCCTAAATTGGTCGTGAGAAAATTAAAACTATAATTTTTTATATAATTGATTGATGATTACATTTTTGATATATTTTTCAGGTGTAATGAAAACTTTTGTTTATACAATTACTTCAGCAATTTTTTATTTTGAATTATTTTTAACGATTAATGGTTCTTTAACGCAATATCGCACTAAAATCAGTTTTATGACCGTGTAATCAAAACTATGATGAATTTTTCTATGTATATATCACTATATCCGACAAATTTGGGCACTTTTTCATCGCACTGCATTGTACACTTACAGTAACTAGATTCATGTTGCGTGTGTAGAAGAACTAAGACCAGCACTGATAATGAGATTGTTCCGTGTGGAGTACTTATAGCGTTCCCTAGGCGTGACCATAAGCTAGTGAAAGGCTTTCTAGTTTCCGGTTTCTTCGGACAGACAATTTAAAAAAAATCTTCACTTGCAGATAACCGTAAACTATAGCATGTAATAGAATGTTACCTGAATTGTTAAATCAGAGCTGGCTCGGGTATCTCCAATATCACCATTCAAGGACGAACAGACCAACGAAATATTTTTATTTTTTTAAACCAACTTCTGAATAATGAGACAATGTTTATACCCGAAAAGTAATCAAAAGGAGCTGTATATCAAAGTGGATTATATTATTATCTGGCAAAAGTTTTGTGTACAGAATAGCAGAAATACACAATCACATAAAAAAGAGTACCTAACTGAAAATGCCACAAATAAATAATTCCTGCCAATATATTTCCTTAAGAACTTGCACTACTCGTAAATTGGTATACAGGGTGTCCGGAAAGGCCATGTCAAAAATGAGGGGTGTACAGGGGAGCTCAAAATCGACTGATATACCTTTTTTTTAACAAAGTGAGAGAGGAATCGAACTATGAAAGAAAAATGTCAAATTTGGCAACACTGTCAAAGATAGGAAGAGGATAATTTCGTCTGCTCCTGTATAATCCAGGCATATTGAATATCAGTTTAAACTTGGAAATGAACATTATCTTGAGTTACTTTAATTGCCCTAATTTCATTGTTTTCATGGTACCGACTTAGAAGTTACATTTGAAATTTGTTTTTCAAACTTCTTTCTTTGGAGGCGAATAATTCCACAACGAAGCCCAATCGAAAAAAATTTTATGAAGTACTACAACTATTTTGAGCTCCTGTGTATACGCCTTCATTTTTGACAAAACCTTGTTGGACACCCTGTAGTTTTATAACACAAAATATTATTATTGATATGGAGTCAGTGACAATTTGTCAAATAAAATAATTATCAACCGTTTCAAAACATATTTTGTATGAACTTCAGCACATAATTAATTGTTAAAATAATTTAACTCTAAAACGGTACAACCAATCAATATAACACACGAATATATTTTTAATAAGATGTTTAAAATTTAATACTTCTCTTCAAACGTATATGAAAAAGTTGGAGCAATATTTATTCACAACCTGAGTTAAAAATTATTACACGAATCTGTTCGTAACATAACAGTAAAACTCAGTTCCAAATTTCATTCTTTCGATTTCTCTCGAATGAGTCGGAGATTGTGTATAAAAAAATTGAATTGACTCGCCTTTATGGGGCTGTATTCCCCTTAGGAGGTATGTCTTCTACTATATTCAAATAAACTGTTTCTAATATTTGTCCCCTATACACAGTACGTTTCACGATAACCGCCTATTACAATATTTCATTGAGGAGTTTTAATTATGATTTTTGCATCGTTAGCGTTAGCATTAAATTTTCCAAAAATACTTTTAAAACGGTTAACGTATACACCATGTTCCCGGAAGGTGAAACAACTACAGTTGAGCAGTTGAAAAATGCCCTTTTGTGGCCGCTCTGTTTGTTTGTGAAGCAAAATCTGGAACGCAAAATTAGTTCACTTGTGTAAGATAAAACAAAATGTTATTAAGAAAAATTTCTCAGAATGAACAATTTGACAAAAATTTATCAAGCAAAACATTAATATAATATAATCCTTGAACAGTTTATATGTATACATACTGAATCTTTGAGAAACTTTTCTATTTTTCTCAATAATATTTTGTCGTATACAGAAAGAGCGCATTACTAACAATTTTCAAGCAAAAATAACAAACTATGTCTGAGACGTTGAAGTTTTGTACCTACTTAACTTTTCATTCTAAGAAATTTTTTTTTAATAACATTTTGTATCTCAAAGAAATGGTACTTTACTGATGAATAAATCAGATTTTTCTAAATTTCCAAGGTTTATTGAATTGTATGGATTTAAATTCATGGCAAATTGTTTCACAAACAGACATGATTAAGTCCTGGGAAGCAATTTGGCAACTTCAACATATTTTGTCTCGTTCACCTATCTAGAGACACGCTGTATGCATACAGATCTTTAAAAAATCTTGAAACATTTTTCCATGTAGAGCACCCAGTATTTTACGAATTATTTTTTCAACATAAGATTTTCAATTAAATGATTATAATTTCTATCTACCTATTTTACTCTTAAGATTTTCCAATTATGCTACTTTTATTACAAAAATATGAAAATTTCAACTTATTTCCGGAACTGGATTTTTGACCCTCTAGTTTGTATTGACAAATTTATGAATGATAGATTTTTTGTGTAGCTGATATAAAGATAGATCTTTCTTTAAGGACCTTCTCACATGGCCCCAAAGATTCCTTGCTTATTTTTATTCAAATTCTTATTAATTTAATAATTCATAAATTTCATTTCAGCCGTTTTAAATAAAGATAGTAGAACAAGTTAAGAATTAAAGCCAACTGAGGAAGTTTAATACAGATTAATTGCTATTAATTTTCTTCGAAACTTTCTACGCAAAAGTAATTATTATTCTTACTTATACAAATGAAATTAAGCAAACTAGATATAAGTCTGATTACTTGTATATTATTTATACGTCTATACATAAAATACATATTTTTTTGTCTGCCTACGTACTATTTTTATATTTATTCATGCATAATTTTTGTAGACTTCCTATAAGACTGTCCTAGGTGAATGTACGAACAGAAGAATGGTTAAGGAAGTGTTAAATCATGTTATGCATTGTCGATTGAATGTAGCGTTTGAACTAATTATCTTTTTATAAAGTGTTATGATTTTTAGGATATGAAATAATTATGCAAAAAAAAGAAAAATCTAATAATTTAATAGACAAATTAATCATGTACAGGGTAATCGATATACCTTATTAAATACGTTTTCTTAAAAACAGCTGAAGATAATTAAATTTTGAAAACGGTTATGTTTTCAGTGTAGTATAAAAAAATTATTATATGTTCATAATGATGGAGCTCTCATTAATTTTTATCTCAAAGACATACACCTGTTGTAGTACTACTAGTAAGAATTTTTATTTTTTTTATTTTTTCCAGAATAAGGCACATTTTTGTTCTTCAGTACATAAGGTACTACATATAATACATACGATTTTCAAAATATCAAATAACGAAGAAAATAGCAATAAAAAAATAATTTGAAGAATATGCTAAAAATATCTAAAAATGAAAACAGTTGTATATTCAATCAGAATATATTGTAAAAGTGTTTTCAAGTGTTTTCAACTTTAGTTGACTATTTTTCATCCTCTCTATTTCTTATGAAATATATTCAATAAAATAAGTTCTCCTTATAATACTCACCGAAAAATGTTTCTTTTCTGTTTTGTTTAGCATTTTTATAGTTATTTTATTCTGCGTCTTTTACCTCTTCCTCTCTCAATATATCCTTAATGTTTTCTTATTTAAGTGTTTTCAAATGTTCACATATTAGATTTATTTTAAATGTAGTAAACAATAGTTACATTTACTAAGTAGGTATAATTAATTTTGTAGAAATTTATGTTAATATGCAAATTTCCAATATCTCAATGTATAATTTCATTTTAATTTGAAACTATCTAAACCCTATACATGAACGTGTATCAATTATTCTACTAGTCTAATCAGGACTGAATTAATAACGTCAGATTATTTTTCTTCAATAGAATTAAGTACTACATACAGAAAAATGTTGTTATAGTTGTATTGGTAAGTACTACCTTTCGGCATTTTTCGGAAAAATAATTTTCCTGAAAATTATTCGTTTTGTTTCATTTTCAAGAGCCCGCCAGCCATATTTAAATGTATGTAAGATGATCTATGTGCATTTCAAACTCACGAACAAGAAGAATTTGTTCAAACTGTAAAATATCTATGTTCCGAATACCTGCTGCACTACTTCCGCAGTGGAAAAATACAATTTAATTTTGTGCTTCTCGATTTTGTATCACATTTTTTCGGTGTTTATCACATATTGCTATATGATACACTTATTACAGTTTAATAAAAATAAAAATTAATTGAAGCATAACAAACTCAACTATTCGGAAACCTTCGTAGAGGTAAATCATTGAATTAAATAAGTGTAACCGCACGTTTATAATTACGTCGGTTGAGTGAACAAAGCAACGCCAAATTGTGGATTATCCATTTCAATCGGATCTACATTAAACAAAAGAATGCACAGTTCTGTTTAAATAATCCCGAATATCTATGAAAAGATTTCATTTATGTATAAGAAATTCTTGTTAAAATAACAATTCAAAAGAAAACGTAAAACAGTGTGGCACGCGTTTTCTCTTTGCCTATTATTTATTTAGGACCTATATTTTTTATCTTTGTAATTAAAATAAGACAACATATCATAAATAATAATCGAATTACAAATCAAATTAAACTTGTCTCTACAGTCTGAAATAGATAGATATTAGTTTAAAAATGATATAAATAAACATCGTATTAGGTGTGTAGAAAAATTCATGTATGCCATATTTCATTTAAAGATCTCTTTTTGAAGATATAAAGTATCAAAATTATTATTTGAAAAAAACGTTTTTATTAATTTTTTTTTGTTATAAGATGTTCGTTCAGAGTTGTAACTTGATATTAACTTTTACCCAATGCAAGAACATTTTTTTGTGTAATTTTAATAGGAAAAATCGATACAAACGTAGATATTAGAGGTTGTACGATTAGTTGTAGTATTCATTGGCCTGCCTCACAGTTTTCTTCGCACGACTATGATTCAAATATATTCTATTTTGCATCAAACGTTTCTTTCTAATACTTCTTTCAATATTAATGATATGACTCTGATATTGAAGCTGTGAAAGTATAGTTAGGCATATACCCAGTATATCAAAAAATTATTGATATCCAAAAAAAAATAATTGAACACTAAATAATTAATAGGTATACATCATACGTAATACGCCCACGAGAAATGGGTTGGATTTTATAA